ACAAGCCCCTAAAGCCGGGTGAGGTGCTGAGCATCCTCCTCTACCTGATGTCCAACTCCACGGTGGAGCACTTCACGCTCAGGTGAGGTCCTGGGGCTGCCCCCACCCCGGGAGCAGTCGCCTTTTGAGGGGGTGGTTGCTTCGGTTGGGCTGTGTGAAGGCAGCTGTGGGCAGGAAGGAGAGGATGGGGAGAGTGTCTTGCATTTATGGGACCTGCTGGGGGCTGGACCGGGTCTGGTGGTGCTTTGGGAAGGGAAGGGAGGGCAGAGAAACAGCCGGCGTGTGGTTTTGCAGGGCTGCCCCCACCCCGGGAGCAGTCGCCTTTTGAGGGGGTGGTTGCTTCGGTTGGGCTGTGTGAAGGCAGCTGTGGGCAGGAAGGAGAGGATGGGGAGAGTGTCTTGCATTTATGGGACCTGCTGGGGGCTGGACCGGGTCTGGTGGTGCTTTGGGAAGGGAAGGGAGGGCAGAGAAACAGCCGGCGTGTGGTTTTGCAACGTTTTGGAGCTTTGCACCGGGAGCTTCTTGGAGGGAAGGGAAAGGCTGTCCATCCAGGGTTTCCACCTCCACATCGCCTCTATGGACTGCTTGCCTTCGCCCTCCCAGTTGTGCTGGGATTAGGGCCCCGCCAGCAGATGTAGATTTGTTCACAGCCGCTTTGGGGACAGCGTGTGACGATTGCCACGGGACTGCTGTGGAGCAAGCGGGGATCCCTGTGTCCCCCCATCCTGCCCCAGAGCCAGGGTGGGGACAGAATGGAGCAGTGGGCAGGAGGTGCTGAGCACCACAGCACGGGGAGGTGTACGGTGGGACTCCCCTTGCTGTATGTCCCTAAGGATAGGGGACAAGCCCCAGCCACACATTGAAGGGCATTTACAAGTGTCCCTGCGGCCACCGGACCTGGCATGGGTGACACGGCACTCCAGGCTCTCCTGTCCTTTGCCCCCAGGGGTGCCCAGCCCTGGGGGCAGCACTGGGGCTGGGGGACAAAACTCCATCCGGAGGGGTGATGCAGGGGGACAAAATCCTATGAAAAAGAGGGGCTGGGGTGGGCTCAGCCCCATGGCTGTTGCTGCCAGCCTGGATGATGTTTCTGACAGCCAGGAGGGACTGAGGGCAAAAAATCCCCCTGCACCCACGGCAGGGTGCTCGGGGGGTTCCAGGGGTGCCTGGGGGTGAGGGTCCGTCCCTGACGGTCGCTCTCCGCAGGGTGAAGGCCAAGAAGGGCGTCAATCTGCTCAGCACCAAGTCGAGGAGCGGGCAGTGGCTGGGGACCTCGGAGCTTCTGACGGGTGGCAAGCACTCCACTGCCACCGTCGACGTGACCAGGGTGGACGGTGCCGGGCCCAGGTAAGGGGGTCGACTCCCACCCCCCCCAGCAGCAGGGAGGCTGAGGAAATTGCTGGGTTTTGGGATGAAGCAGCTCTCCCTTTGGCCCCACCATGGGTGCCTGGCTGGCTGCTGGCAGGGGAAACTGAGGCATGGTAGTGCACAGCCCAGACCGTGGGACTTAGAGGCACCGAAGGGGGCTGAGAAATTTTGGGGTCAAACTCTCAGTCTAGCTGAGGTTGGGGTAGGTCCTGCACTGACGCGGGAAGGGGCTTAATTTCGTGTGTGGTTTTTATCCTTGGCTGGTGCTGTGCAGCTGGCTGAGGGGCAGGTGAAGGTGGATTTCATGGCCCGAGGTGGGCAGGTTGGCGGTCAGGCAGGCAGCTGCCCGACGGCCGTGCGAGGTGGTGTGTTCAGGTGGGATCTGCTCTGTGGTCTACGCACGCGACCAAGCTGGGGCTCGAGCAATGAACTCGGAAGTCATGGGTACCATTCTGCAGCTGCGTCTCTGGCTCTGAGCTGGGATCGCCTGGCTGTGTCGGATGCTGGTGGGCACACGTGGTGGATTTTGGGGCTGAATTGTGAAGCTATGGAGCATCCCCTGGTTTGGAGTGGAAGTGTTTTAATTTTTTAAGATGTTTTAATACTGTGAGAGGCGACAGCTCTTTGCTGAATATCCTGGTGTCTCCTCCGGGAAGGAAGGGGAACAGTCCCCAGGCAAGGTCCCATCCGGTCCCCAAGGTGATGGATGAGTGTCGGATGGAGAGCACGAACCAAGGCAGCACCTGAGATGGGCAGAGCCAGTTCTGCCCTGCTGGACACGAGGACGATGCCCGTTCCCGGGGTGTCAGGAAAGGCTCAGGTGGGTCGAAGAGAGTCCAGGGGATAGAAATGAGAATGATCTGAAGGAGTGAGGACACAGAAAGCCAGTTGAAAACCCAGAGGCTGCTCAGCCTGGAGGTGGGGAGATGTGGGACTGGCCTGTGAGCGCGGAGGCTGCAAGGGCGAGGGGTGGCGTTGCCCCTTGTGTCCTCGTGGCAGGACATGGCGAGCAAGGGTAGGAGCGGGACACAAGCTCAAAATCACTACCAGGAAAGACTTTGAAGTGGTGGAATGCAATTGTTCCCTGGCTATGGCATCTCAGTCGCTGTGTCTTTGGGGACAGGGAAACCAATGTCTCCAGGGGCTGGGTTAAAGCGAGTGACTTGATGCACTTGAGCCATTCCTGCCCTCTGTGTTGGAAATCTCCCCACATCTCTGCCCTTCACCCCAAAACTGAGCGAAGCTGGGGACAGGCTCTTGCAGAAAGGAAATGCTCAGCTCTGATTGCTTCGAACGTGAGCTCAAAAGCTGTCTGCAGAAAACCCCTCCAAAGAGCTTACCCGGAGGGCAGGTTTTCCTTTACCCCACCATTGCTTCCAGATACAAAATACAACCGCGGCATCCGAGCCTGCAGCCCTGTGGCTGATATTTGCGGGGCTCCAGGGCCCCCCCCTCTTCTGCATGGCCCCCCCAGCCCCCCCACACGCGGCTGCTGGGGCTGCCGGCAACGAGATCCTCTCCTCTCCCCCTTCCCCCTCTCCCTGTCTGCCGCCGCTGCCGCCTCAAATCAGCCTGGAAAGGTTAGAGACGGAGGATGAATTTAAAGTGATTACAATCACCTTTTAGACAAACAACTCCATCAAATATTAACGGAATGGAAAGTATGAATGACTCTAAGCCGTGTTGCCCTCCGGGCTGCGCAGCCGGAGGAGTTTGCTTTGCCGGGGCTCTGGGGGATTTTGGCAGCTGGGTGCGCGGGGAGGGGGTGAGGGCCCTCAGCTTTGGGGTGCTAATAGCCAATTTGGGATGTTTTGCACCCCAGCAGCTGCGTGCTCAGTTACTCCCCCAGTCTGGGCAGCCCAGCTCTTGTCTTTGCCGTGGCTGAGAGCAGGTGATACTCAGGGAGGGCGGAAGATGGTGGCTGTCCCCTGGCATCGCTCCTGGGATGCCCTGGGGCACCCCATCGCGAGGAACCTCAGCGCCGAACCGCCTCCGGCATGAAGCTGCAGCTCTGGTTTGCCTTCGAACCTGGCTCTTTGCAGCTGTATTTAGTACTTCTGCGCCGGAAGAGGCCGTGAGCAGCCAAATCCCCCTCTTCAGACCGAGTGGCCTTTGGCGATTCCCCTTGCACCCCTGTAGCTGCCTTGGGGGCCCAAAGTCCCAGCAGGACCCCACCAGCCCTCGTGCTGCAGCTCCACTGCAGAGCCCATCGCCCCAGCCACCAGAGCAGGGAGCAGGGCTTGCCACGGCCTGGAGCAGCCCCTGCTTCTTGCAGTCCCTTTTCTCTGCTCCCTTTCACTCATGAGATATTTATCAGAGAGAAACCTGACTGTATCCTGCATCCTCAGATCGATGGGACTTTCTCGATAGGTGCAATGAGAGTGGGGCTGGTCCCGGCTTCCCCTTCCACAGGGGTTTCACCTTTCCTTGCCCCCCTTCCTCCTTCTGTTCTCGGGGGGCTTTTGTCAGCTTGGTGGTTTGTGGGGGCTCTGGGGTGTCCCCTGGGGATGCTCTGTTTTGGGGGGGGCATTAGAGAAGTTTGACTTGGTGGGGGTTGAACCCTGAGTGCCCCCAAGGGGTTTGCAGGTTGGACACAAAGATGGGAGGGCAGGATCTCATCTGGGGAGGTTTGCTCACAGGGATGGGGCGTAAGAGTGGTTTACGCTGCTGCTGTCAGGCTGTGTCCAAGCCAGAGGATGAGGGACACCAGTTGCTGAGTCCCCCCCATCCCCTTAGGCAGTCACTGTGTGCTGGGTTTGGCAGCGCACAGCCTCTGTGTCCTGTCCTGCCTCGGGGATGCCCCAGAGTCTGCTCCCTGTCTGTTAGCTCTGAGCTCTGGGTCCCACTGTGCTCAGCACTGTCATTAAATGCGTGGGGTTTTAACGAGCGGGTGGTCCTAGGGCCATTATCCCCTGCCCACCCACCCTGTGCATCCCCGTAGCTGCCTGTGCAGGCTGGGGGACAGCCCTGCCTCTTGCCTGGACAAGGTCCTCTGCAGCCTGCTGTAGGTGACCCTGCTTCGGCAGGAGGGTTGGACTAGATGACCCACGGAGGTCCCTTCCAACCCCTACTATTCTGTGATTCTGTGAGTCCCAGCTCAGTGTTGTCCCATCTGCTGCCTGTGGTAGAGCTGCTTTCTCCCGTGCCTCAGTTTCCCTATATGATCTCCTGGGAAGGTGCTGTAACATCAAACAGTGTGGGCTGGGCTCTTTTATAGTCACTTATTTGCTGCCCCCGAGCACGCTGCTCTCCTGGGTGTGGGACACTTGGGGTTTGACAGCATGCAGGCAGGAGCATCCTGGGGTGGTAAATCCGGCTGTGCTGCCAGGAAGATGGAGCCAGGGAGACGAGGGCAGCACCTGCAGCCACTCGCCGTCCCCCAGTGCCACGGCCACACGCTCACCCTGGGATAATATGTCACTGATAGCCTTGGGAGAACGCCCGCACGAGTCACCAAGGTTTTTCTCCCGCTGGGGAGAGGCAGTGAAACGCATTTGTCTCTGCCACTGGGAAGATTCCCGTGGGAATCTGCAGGCTCCCATTGGAGCAGCCCCTGGCAGAGAGGGGGATCAGGGCTGTTGTGTCTGGGAGCAAGCATTGTGATGGCAACCACAGCACGGTGTCCCCAGCAGGCATGGGGACACCAAGAAGGGACCGGTGGGGGATGCTTTGTATCGCTAGAGGGGACCACCCGGCACAGATCCCAGGGTGTCTGTGGGACCTGTGGCACCCACCTCACTGCGTCCCCCTCCTCTCCCCCTGGCCAGGGATGGGGATTCCTCCTCTGAGATCATGCAGCTGGATTTCGAGATGGAGAACTTCACCAGCCAGTCGGTGACGCGCCGCATCATGTGGCACATTGACTACCGGGGTCGCAACCCCCCGCCTGACCTGGAGAAGGTGGTGACGGAGCTGACGGTCATCCAGAGGGACATCCGGGCCATCGTGCCTCTGGCCATGGTGAGCGGGTTCCTGCCCTCTGCTTAGCTTATCTGCTTTGATGTTGGGGATGGATTGGGTCCTGCTGAGGTGCCTCGTAGCACCTATACATCCATACATCCCAACCACCCATCCACGCACAGGCCCTGCTCTGCCCCAGGGCTGGAGCAGGAGAGGAGCCAGACAGGATCTGGCCCCGGGGAGACAGGCTGCCCTCCAGTGTGACAGTCCCCTTTGCACCCCATCCGCAGGACACAGAAATCATCAACACGGCCATCCTGACGGGGCGGACGGTGGCCATTCCTGTGAAGGTCATTGCCATTGAGCTGAGCGGTGTCATTGTGGATGTCTCAGCTATGGTCGAGTGCAAATCCAACAACGAAGACATCATCAAGGTGGGTGTGGGGAGGGGGCTTTTGTGACCCTGGGGAAGGGCTGCGCTTCCCCCAGGGGTGCTGACCCCAGTGGTGTCGTGGGCTGGAGCTGGTGGCTGAGCTGATGTGCCACACAAGCCCACCCCATCCCGAGCATCATCCCCTCAGTGGCTTCAGTCTATGTGTGCCTCTTCCTGGGATCTGCTGGGAGAAGGACAAGACACTTTGTCACTGTCCCCGGAGGGGCCGCGCGATGCTCTGGTGCTGCACAGACTGGCAGCAGGCAGCAGCAATACTATGGGTTATCACAGCACTTGGTGCTGATAAGGTGAAATGTTGTCACCTCGCAGTGTGAGCTGCGCGTTTCCGTCAGGGGCTTCGCTCGTGCCTCCGGGTGACATTGATCTCCCTTTTGGATCAGATGCTGGGCTGAGCTCCGGCTGGGGCTGGCCCCAGCAAGGCTGGGGGGAACGCGTTTGGGGATGATGGAGGGAAAAGGGGGCCTGAGGGAGCGGAGCAACGTGGGCTGCGCGGGAGAGGTGCTGATGAGGCGAATGCGAGAGGCTTGCTGTTGCAGCAGCAGTGATTGCCCACGGATCTGCCCCGAGGCAGCAGTCGGTCCTCAAATTCAGCCATGATTTTTCCATCACCAGACCCATTCATCCATATACATCTTTCTATCACTGTCTGTATCCATCTATCCACCCGCCATATTATTCTATCACAATATCCATCCATCCACGCCTAGACATCATCACCTTCTCCCAAACACCTCTTGTCCCTCTTCCTGCATGCACCCAGCCAGCCCACCCTCTCCATGTCCCCGCTGCGTTGGGAAGAGGCAGGGAGCTGGGCTCTGGGCTCTCCCATGTCCACCAGGCTGGGGGTCGTAGCCCCTTCTCCCCTTCTTTGCCAGAGGCCACTGGCTGCTCTCCCAGCCGAGCTGGGGTGATGGGCAGAGCCCCGGCCCCGCTGCCCCGTGCCCTGGCCCCGTTGGGACTTGCTCTTCCTGGCGGTCCATGGGTGGGTGACAGCTGGTGTCACAAACTGTTTACCCAAGTTCTTGAGTAAAACTCCGATCTGTGCGATTTACAGCACTGGGTCTAATTTATGGAGACCGGTCCTCCACAGCGTGATAAAACACTGGAGCAATAATACACTTCAGGATGGACTCCAAGACACTTAAGCTGTTTAATGTGCTGCCTTTCTACTCATAAATCTATTTACACACTGTCCCCAGACCTGGGGGGAGCAGACACATGCACACAAGCTGGGATGAATAATGCATGGAGCAGCCCTCCGGCCCCGGCTCGCCTCCTGCTCGCATCCCGCTCGCCGCTCGGAGCCCCGTGCAATTTCTCACGGAGTTATTTTGTGTTTGTGCTGGAGCTTCGTTTCCGAGGGAGCTCTCAGTTACCTGCTGAGATTGGGGAGTATGATTACAGTGTCAGGGCTATAAACCTGTTACATAAATCAAAGCTTACATAGTGGGATGCGCTATCTGTGACTGTAAATAATTTAACGTGAAAGAGGGCTGGGGAGCTGCTTCTCCCCATGCTGGCTGTGGCCTGGTGGTGGTTGCTCTTGTGCGTAACGTGGAGGGAGCATCTCCTGGACCTTGTGGAGACATGGCTGTGAAGGTGGCAGGGCCATCCGTGAAGGATGGTGGGAGAGCACGGGTGGGAGTTGTCACCCTCATCCCCTTCTGCGGTGACACAGAGTGACTGCTCAGCCCAGAGAGGAGGACCTCATCACTCGAAGTAGTGTACAAATAATCCCCCTTCCTTGCCTGTGTTGTGGCCTTGGGGACTGCATACGTGTTGAGGGACATGCAGGGAGTGGAAGGGCCAGCTGTGCTGCCAGCAACGCTCAATGGGAGATGCTCAACCTCACCTGCTATGTGAACCTTTCTTGGGAGCCCACCATCCACATCTGCATGAGGACCCACCAGCAGCAAGTCAGTTCAGTGCGGCTGAGCCTCAGGGACCCTGGTCACCCACAGCCACCGCTGGGACCCCTGCATGGCCAACATGGGGTCCCATCAGCCAGAGTGGCTCTTCCCACTCCTGAGGGCCTTGAAAAAGATACATCTCCTTGATCCCACGCTTGAGGCTGTGCCAAGCGGGGAGCTCCTGGCCGCAGAAGTGGAGCCGGTGGTGCCTTGGCTCGGAGCCCGGGCAGACCTCAGCCTCTCACTTCCCGATGCCTCGCTGCGAATCCGGGAAGTTTCTCCGAACAAGCGTGCACTTCATTTAAAAGCTAATCTGCAGTCATTCCATCATCAGGACAGGCCTGATGTGCTGCGATTTTTTTGTTGTTGTAGTTTCAGCCCGCCAAGTTGCAAAGCAAGTGGTCCCCAGAAGAAGATGCCGGGGGGATTTATTAGCTAAGATACTGCAAGCAGCAGTCCGTCATCTTTATTGTGATAAATGGCACAATATCCAGAACACTTCATTGCTGGAGGATTCGCCCAGGAGCTCGTCTTTATTCAGACGCTGTCCTGCCAGAGATGAGATTGTCTTTTCAGACATGCTGAGCTGGTATCTCTGATACGAAGATGAGGAACAAACCCTCCTGCGTTGCACTTCGCTCCCATGCCCGGGGAGCGGGGACTTCCCGAGGAGCCCAGGTACCAGGCTCTGCCTCCTCCACCAGCCCTGTGGACCAAGGGCACCTCACGGTGGGCTCCTGCAGCCAAAACGTGGAGCTCTTGTAGAAGTCAGGCCCTGCTCGTGGGCTCGGAAATACAAAATTCCTGCAGCTGAATGAGCACAGGTGCCCAAAGATAAGGTGGGGAGAGAGACAGTGATGCGATCACCTCCGCTGTCAGCTACTGTGCAGGATGGACTCAACCCCTTATCAGCCATCAGAGAATCCACGTGGGATAGGAGCTTCTTGGAAATAAGCCCTTCAGTGCCGTTGAGATGCTCAGCGCATCTGAGAGCGCGACTGTGCTGCTGGCTGAGCAGACGGCTTTTATCTTTCCCCAGCAGCAAATGACTCGGATGCAATTCCTGATGGTGTGGGGGGCAGAGAAAGGGGGTCAGGGTGGGGCCGTGGGGCCACTGCAGAGGAGAGGTTGGAGCCTCCCCAGCTGGGTTGTCTCCTGCCACCCTTGCTGGGCAGGAGAAGGTGCAGTTGACTCTGACAGCCTAAGCTGAAACACGGGTGATGCTGTGGGGGCATCCTCTTAGCTCCTTAATTGGCTTGGATCGGTCGGTAATAAGCGGCCCCCGCAGGATGTATTAGTTTTATAGGAAATTTAATTAATGGCATTTGCATAAATGGGAATTAAAAGAGAAAGAGAGAGAAGATGAATGTGAGGATTCAGATGGACGCTGGGAAGCTGTTCCTGGGGTTAGCAGGAGGGTCAGGGGTGAGGCACTGGTGGGTACCTTCACACGGGCAGGCGGCTGGTCCGTGTTCACTGCCTGTGTCCTCTGGAGGTGGGTGGAGGAGATTTTGGGCCAAATGTCCAGGATGAGCAGTTTGCAGCTTCTGCAAAGCACCTGTGGACTCTTTGAGCTTGAGTGCAGTAACGGGGTACAATTCGGTGTGGGGGTCAAAGATGCCAAAGCCCTGAATGGAGGTGCCTGCAAGGGCTGGCAGAGGAGCTGGGTCAGGGGGAAACACACGTTACAGACGTGGTGTGTGGGGGTCCACACTTCTGAGTAGGGACCTCGGGGAGGAGAGAGCATCCCCGCTCCTGGGCCACCGTTAGCCTGGTACACAGCGGGTAAAATTCTGCTCCTCTGGCACTTCCCATCCTCTGGGCAGCCTCCTGCCAGGATCTCTGGTGGGTCTGTGGGAGCATTGCAACCCCCTCATCCTCCCTTCTTCCCCAGGTCTCCAGCAGCTGCGACTACGTCTTCGTCAGCGGGAAGGAGTCACGGGGCTCCATGAGCGCCCGGGTCACCTTCACCTACGAGCACCTCTCTGCCCCGCTGGAGATGACGGTGTGGGTGCCCAAACTGCCGCTGCACGTTGAGCTCTCGGACGCCCGGCTGAGCCAAGTGAAGGGCTGGAGGGTGCCCATCCTGCCGGACAGGAGGTGGGTGCTTCGGGGCCACTGCGCCTGGCTTCTGTCCAGCCTGGAGAAGGCAAGGTGAAGGTTGTGGTGAGAGTCTAATTGCCTTGTTCAGCTACTTAATGAGTGGGTTTTAAAGATGGTGGAGCCGGAGTCATCTCAGGGCTCCCCAGTGAAAAGGTGAGAGATGATGGACACGGGTTGCATGTTTGTATGGAAGAAGGAAAATTTCCCAAGGAGGGTGGTCAAACTGGTGGGGAACATCTATCTGGATGATAGGGGTAATGGTTTTTAACTAAAAGAGGGTAGATTTAGATTAGATACAAGAAAGAAGTTATTTACTATGAGGGTGATGAGGCCCTGGCACAGGTTGCCCAGAGAATTTGTGGCTGCCCCCTCCCTGGAAGTGTTCAAGGCCAGGCTGGATGGGACTTTGAGCAACCTGGGCTGGTGGAAGGTGTCCCTGCCCATGACAGGGGGTTGGAACTACGTCATCTATGAAGTCCCTTCCAACCCAAACCCTTGGCAATGGTCAAAACTCCAATGTTAGCCATGCTTTGTGGTCTAGAGACCTCAAGGTGTCCATCCCAACCTGAGATATCTTGTCCTCTTGGCTGGTTAGGGGGCAGAGATGCCGGTGACCCCCTTGCCAAGTGCTGCTAAAGCCCTTAAAGACCTCATGGGCAAGAGGCATCTTTTTGGCCAGAAGCCACCAGTTTTTCTCCCATGCTTGGGGAGTCTCTGCATTTCTCCCTGCCTGGTCACTCCTTTCCTTTCCTGGGGGGGCTGAGGAGCCATGGCTGGGGGAGGTTGGTGGCACTGCCCACCCAGTGTCCCATCCCATAGGTCGGTGCGGGACAGCGAGCATGAGGAGGATGAAGAGGAGCGGAAGCAGAGCCGGGGCTGTGCCCTGCAGTACCAGCACGCCACGCTGCAGGTCTTCACCCAGTTCCACACCACGGCGGCGGAGGGCACGGAGCAGGTGGTCACCATGCTGGGACCTGACTGGCTGGTGGAGGTCACTGACCTGGTCAGCGACTTCATGCGCGTGGACGACCCGCGGGTGGCCCACATGGTGGACAGCTTCACGCTGTCCGGGAAGGAGCCGGGCACCACGCTCTTCAAGGTATCCCCCCCTGCCTGCTGCCTTTGCGCCCTCCACTAGTTTGGCTGGGGGTGCCAGGCGGTGATGGGCACCTTCGTCCCCTGCAGGTCGTGTCCCCGCTCATGGAGGCAGTGCTGGGTGAGACGCTGGTGACGGTGGCTGAGGAGAAGGTCAGCATCACAGACCTGAAGGCCCAGGTGGTCTCCAGCCTCTCGCTGTCCCTCCACCCCAGCCCTGGCAATAGCCACACCATCATTGCCCGGACGTCTGTGCAGCAGACCCTCAGCTTCCTCAAGCAGGTGGGGCCAGGGGGGGTGCACTTGGGCTTGGGGGGGCTGGTGAGGGACTTGGGGTGGGGTGAGGGCTACATCTGCAAATCCCCCTCTCCCAAATCCTGTAGACACCATGGTGACCCCCAAAGCACCCCAGAAACCTTCACGCAGACCTATGAACCAACTCTGCCCAGCCTGGGGACAGGACACAACCATGGGGACAAAGGGGTCTGGAAGAAATCCTGTACAGTTCCCAGCCCAGATCCTGGCACCTCTGGGGCTGGGATTTGTGGTGAGCGTGGACAAGTGTGGGGAAAATTGAGGAAAGAACAGGCAAAAGGCAGAAACTAGGGGATGGTTGGAAGGAACAAGATGGTGGATGAAGGGATAAAGGGTGAAGTGGATGGAGAGAAGGATGCAAAGGAGGAGGGATGGATGGAGGGATGGACAGATGGGTGCAGATGGAACTGGCATCGTGCTGGGCAACCGGTGCCTGTGTTGGTCCTGCAGGAGGCGCTCCTGAGCCTGTGGATTTCCTACAGCGACGGCACCACGGCCCCTCTCTCCCTCTTTCACCCCAAGGACTACAACCTGGTGGTGAGCAGCCTGGACGAGAAGGTGGTCTCGGTGACCCAGGACCGGGCGTTCCCCTTGGTGGTGGCAGAGAGCGAGGGCGCGGGGGAGCTGCTGCGGGCTGAGCTGGTCATCTGCGAGACCTGCCAGAAGACCAAGCGCAAGAGTGTGCTCTTCACAGCCTTGGCCAGTGTACGTGTCCATTTTGGGTCCGAGGAGGACCCCACCTATGACTATGATCACGTGCCCAGCAAGCCAGGACTGGCGGAGACGGGGGCGAGTACCACCCTGCGGGCAGAGGTGGAGAGGAAAGCAGAGCCAAGCGAGGACAGTAGGATGTCCAGTGCATCTCATCCCACTGAGGACTTTCCTACCATCCCCACTGGCTTTGTCCAGGTGACCAGGGGGCTGACGGACCTGGAGATAGGCATGTATGCCCTCCTGGGTGTCTTCTGTCTGGCCATCTTGGTCTTTCTCATCAACTGCATTGTTTTTGTGCTGAAATACCGGCACAAACGCATCCCACCTGAAGGACAGACCAACATGGACCATTCCCACCACTGGGTCTTCTTGGGCAACGGGCAGCCCTTGCGGGCTCACAATGACCTCTCCCCCCAGCCCGAGAGCCCTGGGAACCCCCTGGAAAATGTCCAGACCTGCTGCCACGGGGACCACCACAGCAGTGGGAGCTCGCAGACCAGCGTGCAGAGCCAGGTCCATGGCCGTGGGGACGGTTCCTCAGGGGGCTCCACACGGGACCAGAGCGAGGACCCGCTCAACTCACCCACCTCCAAACGGAAGCGGGTGAAGTTCACCACCTTTGCCACGCTGCCCTCTGATGAGCTGGCCTACAACTCCATCCCCATCGCCGATGAGGAAGACTTGGAGTGGGTCTGTCAGGACATGGGGCTGCAAGACCCTGAAGAGCTTCACAACTACATCCGCAGAATCAAAGAGATCGCTTAACGCAGGGGCAGAGGGGACAGGGCGGGAGGGAGGGGGCTGCCACGCCATGCCACGCCATGCCACGCCACGCCCCACCACGCTGGCCGGCTCC